ATAAAGTAAAGGAAGCTCAGCCACCAGTGCCCTGTGTTGATTCTACAGTTCTATATATATGACAGAAGTATTTAGCAGGTAAGCAGAAAAGTAGATGGAGCTTAATATGTCTAAGTCCCCCCTTGTCCCTAAGTGTTTTTAGATAGAGTCTATATGAGCTCAATTATTGCTTAATGGGCTTCAACATCATTATACTATGTATAAAGACATATAATGGCTCATTATAACTTGGCAAATCAAGCTGCATCTCAGTAGAGTAATTTGTACAACAAACCGTATCAGTGAAGTTTGTCATCCTTTTGGTGCAAAGCAGCAACATATTGTGATGTGAACTAGTACTTAGACTTTTTAAAAATAAACACTAACCTTTAGAAATAAATTCTTACTACAGTAGAGTATTGGGGCCATACTAAAGCTCTTTTTTCTAATTATGACAATAAAGTCATAACATTATTGGAATTAAATACAGCAAAACATGGTTCTTTTAGTGACATTTTAAGCTGTTTCACTTTTTGATACTCTTTTAGTGTTTTACTTCAAACATCTACAGTCCATCAATTAGTTATCTACCCTATGGAAGGACGTCAATAGTAAAGATAACAATACCAATTTATTTTGTTGACAAGCATTTGTTAGCCTGTATGAGTTTTTACCTAATGAGACGCATTAGTCATTGGACCCATGCTTAATATAGAAATATTGATTGAAAAGGTTTAACAGCCCTTTATGATGTTGTGTGCAATCCATACATAAATTTAAAATTGTTTTAAAAAAATCAATATCATTTACTAATTTGATCAGGTCTTGTCAATAACTGTTGCAGCTTTGCTATTAGGATAAGTCCTGAAATGTGAATATATCAGTAATGATCAATGGAAGACCCTTCATTTATTATGAAAGCAATAACAGTTGTTTCTAGGTGAATGCGCTATAAATAATGTTTTTAACGATGGGCTTTGTCTCCCCTGAAACTAAAACATTTAGTAGATAAAGGCAATTTTCAAATAAAAGTTTAGTATTGTCACTGAGATTTCCCTAGTGGTTTTACAGCTGTTACACTTTTTGTTTTAATTCTGCAGCATGTGTGCACATTTACATAACAGGAGTCAGCTTCAGTTCGTATTCTCTAAATGTTTAAGATTTTTTTTCTGGATTTGGTATTAGCCTAAATAATACGGTGTATATTCATTAATTAAAAGCAAATTATTTCTGTCTGTTTAGGTATGACCTATTCTGACTGCTGTGAAAACAGGATAAATTGGTTTGTTGTGTAATATGATACAAACTGTCAAGAAATGTTTTCTACAGACTTGGTGCTAAAACATGCATCCAGATAAATTGTAAGCTGTCTGATTATTTATTTATTTTTTTTAACTTTTAAGTTTTCATTTATTGTTGGATACATGTATATGTAAATGAGGGAATAAAAGCACATAAACTTGGTGCAGCAAACAAAAACTTGTCACCGAATCCTAATCATAAATAGCTCGGTTTGAATAAAACAGTTTGTATGTAACGATGGACTCTTCGTGGTTGCCGTCTTTGCTGCTCTTTATGACTACATGATTGAATTTGACACAAATTTCTGAGCAGGCAGGACCAATTAAATAACAACCAGAGGGAAGTAAAGTTCCTGAACAGTCACTTTCTCAATGTTACAGCTTGATAGTATGTTGTTGTTACTCGTGGTAATGAGCTTTAACCATTTCCCAAAATAAAGTAACTGAGTTCACACATTATCTAGACAATTTTACCACCATAGTCAAAGGTTCTGTGCCTTTTTTTTGTTGATTTAACAGAACCTAAAGCTAGTGTCTTTGCATTTGTACATCTCCCCCCTGTTGACATGTTTTTCTAGGGTGATCCAAGAGGCCAAAAAAAAGAAGATGGCAGAGTTTCCATCCATCCTTCCATTATCTGACACGCTTGTCCCGAGTGGGGTTGCGAGGGGTGCTGGTGCCTATCTCCAGCAGTCAATGGGCGAGAGGTGGGGTACACCTTGGACAGGTCGCCAGTCCATCGCAGGGCAACACAGAGACAAACAGGACAAACAACCATTCACTCACACACTCACACCTAAGGACAATTTAGAGAAGCCAATTAACCTAACAGTCATGTTTTTGGACTTTGGGAGGAAGCCGGAGTACCCAAAGAGAACCCACACATGCTCAGGGAGAACATGCAAACTCCATGCAGAAAGACCCCGGGCCGGAAATCGAAACCAGAATCTTCTTGCAGCAAGGCAGCAGTTCTACCCACTGCTCCACTGAGCAGCCTCGGAGTTTCCAGGATATGCTAAACTTTCAAATGGTAAAGGTGGCAATCAATCAAACCCCAAAAATAATACTCAAAACTCTCCATGGAGTAGGGGTTGTCTGCCTCTGTTGTCTATGGTCTGTGAACGCCCAACGCAAGAGCTGTGTGTGTATTCTGACAAAGAGTGAAGGCATGTCACAGTGCAGGTTTGTACTTACTGTAATTACTACTAACCCATCTTCCTGTTTCCTGTCTTTTTTTCTCATTAGGAGAATCCTACAGTGTAGTTGTGAAAACAACAGTGTTTGATTAAGAAACTACAAGGTAAAATCATATCAGGTTATTTACTTTCAATACAACCTTTATTTATCACTGCAACAGTTTACAAGCAGTTGCAGATCACCTGAGATAAAATTAAGCTGCTCTAAGTCTGAGCCGGAAGCAAGGTTTGATGTTTCCTCAAGGCAGGTGCTAGGCTTCACTTCAATCAGAGGAGTTCAGATATCTCATTGTCTCATTCATTAGTATTGATAGGTGAGACGGTTAGAAGGATTCATGCCTCTCCTGGAGTAATTACTCGGGCAATTACTTGATCTGCTGTGAGGAAATTGTGAAATTATTTTGAGCTCCGATGTATGTTCATCAAACATGGATTATAGCTGAAGAATAAAACTCCAAATAATATAAGTCAAAATTGGCTTCTTTCAACGCACCCTCAGGCATGGTGGGTTAGGCATTCAAACTAAGGGTGATGAACACATGACAGTAGCCAACCTCTTACATAACCGCTCCATAGGTTTGCAGTTGAACCAGATCTTTTGTTATTTCTCCTCAATGACTTAGGAAACTTTGAACGTTGAGTTGCCTAAACTGAACTCTTCAAGCTTTTAAATTCTGTTTTCACTTCACTTAGGAACATGATGATGGTTCCCATCTTATCAAAGATAAAAGTCATTGGTAGCTTTTCTTGTGCGTTCTCTGTAGAGAAAAAAAACAATGGTCCACAAGGTTAGCTTGAGTTGGACCTCTGTGCTCTCTGGTATAAAAGTAGCACGTTGTGACTTAAAAACAATTTCATATATGAATCATCCTGATTGTATCTTTTACCAACTGAAGTGCAAATAAGACAGCAGGCAGTATGAGATGCACTGATTGTGTCTATGATAACCAGGAGGCTAATGTGTCTTCTAGAGTGTGCTCAACAGCTGAAAAATAGGCAATGCAGTTTGGAGACAGACCAAAAAAGGTCACTTATCTAACGGTCTCAAAAGCATCAAAGCTTATTATTTTCTCTGTAGCCAGTTATTGTGACATTGGAACAAAAAAGTTTTTTTTCTTTTTTTTTTCCCCCAGTAAGGACCTAAAAAACATTTTTAAAAGACTGGAAAAAAACTATTATATTTCAGACATTGTCATTCAGAACCTTTTATGCAAAAATATCGTCTTATATGAAATGACTCAAAAAATATCAGCATCCATGGTGTCTTCAAATTAACATTTAGATGAAAGTGACACTGCAGGACCTTGCAAGCCAAAGATCCCAGAGGAGAGGGTGTATAAAAAAAACTGCATCCATCAAAGTAATTTTGCATGCCCCCTTAGAGGGGAATAAGTGAGCTCTCATTTAAAACTCCCCAGCTTGATTAGTAACCATTAAGTCAATTATTGTCAGGTGTTTCTTATGATCTACCACAGAGAGACTTCAGATGCAGAACTGTTTTTTTAACTATTATTTCTCATGTCGCCATGAGCAATAGGAAGGCTAAAAAAAGCAGGATGGCTTAGAAGAGAGTGACAAACTGTTTTTCTGTGATGGGGTTCACACTTTCCGGATACCCTTCGGAGTTATTGGCCAGAGATGCCGCACATTGTACAAAGCACCATATTGGATATGAACATAGCTAAACCTGCACTCTGTGATTTCTCACCTCTTCATTGTGTCTTCTCACCTTTACACATGCTTCTTGCTGCGTAGGTTTGCACAATGTCTTTGCATCTCCCCCATATAGGGGCTGGTGCGTCATCCTCCCCTTCAAAGTCTAGAGTGAAAGTTACTTCATCTTTTTACTCTTATGCCATTAAAGTCTGCACAAATGGATGACTGGCAGCTCAATCAGAAAGGCAGGAGAGGAATCACACTGTGGTGGTACTGCAGGCTCTATCTGCTGCTCTCAAACATCAAATCAGTTACACAAAGGCTTGAATGTTTGTTTCAGTGGTTGTGTTTGCAGTAAAGTACAATTAGTAACATAGTATTTTCTTTCAAAATATCTAAAACTGGCTGAGTACAAATGTGCACTGCATAAATCACCTTTGGATTTTTTTTTGAGACATTTTAAAAAGTTTTCTTTCCACCTACCCAGCAATTTTTTTATTATAGAATCCCATGAAACATAGTAATGTCAGGATCTTCACTGATAGCTCACCTTAATTACTCATGCCTTTCACCTGCTTAACTCTGTCCAGCTCCTAATCATCACTCATCTCATCCACCTGCCCATTTCCTTTATATTGGGCTCAGTTCTAGCTATCAGGGCCGTTCATTGTTTGATTATCATTGTTTGATTTCTGTTTGTTCCCTGTTTGCCTTCTGTTAGTGTCCTGTCTATCACTTTTAATATTTACCAGGTTCATGTCCTCATTTCCAGTAGGAGATCATTTTCCAGCCCATGTCTTCAGGCTAGTTTTAATCCTTAACCAGTGGTGAGAGCGTTTCAACTTTTCCTGAGTGGTTCTGTTTTCCTGATTCCATTCCCTCTCACCAACTGTCCCTGTGTGATCTGCTTGCCTGAACCTCTGTTGGACTCCTGCTGGATTTTGACTGTACTCCCCAGTGTGTTTCTGTCTGAGCCGAATGCTTGACGCACTGGACTCTGAACCTGCCTTCGCGCTCTGGATTCCTGGAAACTGGACCTGCTGTTCCTGAGTGGACTGTACCAGGTAAGCGACCCACTCTAATTATGATCTTCTGTTCAGATGATCGTGGTCACTTGCCTGTGTTTCTCTCTACAGAATCAGTGATGGGTTGCGCCCTGCACCTGCAATCACTGTGGTCGTAGTTCCAATAGCAGCGTGCTTCTGTTTCTGTTTTATTTTAATGCTTTGACATTTCCTGCTGGCTGTCTCACCTTGAATACTGGGTCCATCTGTCCCCTTTTATGACAAAGTTTATGTGACCTGGAAAAAAAAAAAAGAAAGCTTTAGGTGTGAGAAAAGATTTGCAAGCCAATACAAATCTAAACTGGTACAGAGCTTTAATCTTTCAGTGGTGTTCCGCTCAAGGTTTCTCACCGATTGTCCACTGACATTGACAAATTGTTGTCTACATGAAAAGTTATCAAGGTCATGCACACAGTAACTTTATAGGTATTGATACTAGAATAAAAAATTGTAGAAAGGTTTTTTCAAAATATTATTTTCAGAAAGCTCAATTAAGCTTTTTTTTAAGGGGTCTGTGCAATTTACAGACAGACGGAGGAGGTAATTAATTCATTTAAATCAGCTGGCATATGTCACCAGCATCACATAGGGCTATAAATTCACACAAGCTAAATAAACTGTAACAAAGTTACAATAACATTCTGCAAAAAGTGAATTACAAATAAACAATAAAAATCAAAGTGTGTTTCGCTTTAAAATCTAATTCCACTTGCATATCATTTTACATATCTATTGAAATCAAATGCAATCACATGATTAAAATTGTTCTTTGTTTTAGTAAACTTTTTGCAGTGTAAACACTCTTCAGGAACACTGAAAATTAATCGTTCAGTGCATTTTCTCTTTGTGGGATTTAAGGGACATTCAAAAGTCACAACTTTTTACGTATCAAGTACAGAGCATGCAATCTTAATATGTATTACAGAGACTTGAACCATGAAAAATTTTCACAACATTTAAGATCTTATCTAGTTAGCTGTATTTTTTTTAAAAAACAGGTCAATTTGTTTTTAATTTTCGTAAGTATTCTGCAAAGAAAAAACATCAAACCTTTAAAAATTCTTAGTAACTTCAATCCATAGATACCACAAATGTGTACTGATACTGGTTAGCATGGTATATCACAGGCTGACCAGATTTCTACCATAATTATGGGGACATTTTCAGCTTGCAGAAAAAGCAAATTGACTTAAACGTGATCAGGGTGAAATAAAGTTAATTGGACAGGTAACTTTCATTCATCTTTGTAAATGTATACATTAAAGTCCAAAGCCAGATTTATTCTCTACACAACGTTAGAATTTCTTAAAAGTGGTCAAACCAATAAACTAATATTTGTTGGGAACAAAAATTTGTTGGCAAATGATTTATTTTAATGTATGTGAGCATGCAAAGTTGTGTTTGAATGTATACACACCTATATTGCTGTTTATATATCAGATAAGCAAGCAAGTCTATGTGTGAGATTACCAAGGAATTCCACCTATAGGAGCTTATCTCTTGTACTACAAGGTCTCTCTCTCCCTCGCATTCTTGCATTGTCTTGCCTTTTTCTCATTCTGTGTCATGAAAAGAGGACAGATGGACCCAGTATTTAAGGAGAGACAGTCAGTAGGCAAGTTCAAAACGTTTATTAAATGAAGAGCAAAACTAAAAGGGGAGCTGCTAGGATCTGTTATTACAACTGCAGGTGGGGGGTGGGGCACTGCCCAAACTTGGACACTCTGTTTGTGGGAGAAACACAGGTAAGTGACCACAATCATCTGACAGAAGATGATTATCAGAATTGGTCACTTACCTGGTTTAACAGTCCAGTCCAAGAGTGTCCCCATTGCTGCAGTCCTAGAGGTTTTGCAGGAAGCCGATCCTGGTCAGGGATTCAAAACAGACAGAAACAGGCAGGATCCAGGCTTCCAGGGATCGTAGAGCACCCAGGCAGGTTCAGAGTCCAACAGGGTCCGGAAGCGTGAACAGGTAGTCACACACAGGAGCAGACAGGATCAGGTGCAGACGGGGAGGCTCAGCGGAAGAGGGTAGCAGAGACAGGACGTGGAACCAGAACTTGATGCAGGACCTTTGAACTGGTCTCTACCTTGGAGCCAGGCTTACTTGGATAAAAACTGATCCTCCCTGCGTACAGAGCCAAAAACCCAGAGGGCTCAGCAGGGGAGGAACAGTGGACGATTAGGAGACAAGACAGACACAAAAAACCCTTTCCACTGGCCACCAGGATCCAAAGCATGAACCATGAAATAAACAGAACAGACTAACAGAAAAACAAATAATGATCTGGCCCCGAATGCTCAGGCTGAACAGAATATAAACCAAAGGAAATAGGTGAGAGGAATAAATGATAATTGAGGCAGAGAGGGAAAATGACAGGTGAAAGAAATTACCAATTAAGGGAGAGCAAACAGGCCAGATCATGACATTCTGTTTGACTTGCTTTATTTTACTTCTCAGTCTTCATCTTTAGTTAATCAAAATACATACTAGCCCTGTTCTTTTTTATCAGGGATAATGTTGACAACACTATTGATATATACTGTGTGAACCTAACTTTAATCATGGCAAGGATCAGTCAAGTCCATTGTAAATGAATACATTCACACATACCATATCACAGGATAGGCTTCTGTAGGCGCAGACAAGCTCAGGCTTTGCTTTTCCATTTCAATTTATTTTCAAAGGCAGCCCATGAATTTCTTCTCCTACTGTCTGTGATATAAACTGTAGCAAAGCTTTTACCTGACTACTAAAATAAAGGTCCACACACATTTTGTTCTTATTCTCAAAACACTATTATTACGATACATATTTTTTAACATTAAAACTAGTCAGTGGCAGAACTTTAGATTCAATTCAATTAAATTCAGTTTCAGTTTATTTATATAGCGCCAATTCACAACACATGTCAATTTAAGACTTAGACTTCTTTATTTGTCATTTTGTATGCACAGGGTGCATACAGAACGAAATTGCGTTACATACAGCTTATGAACGTTGCATTGATATTTCACAATGGCACGAGTTATAGAAAAATACAAAAAGTGCAGCAGTGGTCAAAGTGTGAACAGTGCAGAGGATAAGAGACAGTGTGCAAGTTGCAGGGTTCAGTGCAAAATGGCATTTGTGCAAAAAATGCGTTATTGAAAAATACAATGAGATGAACAATTTAAAGGGCTAAAAGTTAAAAGTTCAGCAGCATTTGATGCCCGATAATGTGCAATAGGTGCAGAGTTCGGATTGTGGATCAAAGGTTCAACAGTCTGATGGCAGTGGGGAAGAAGCTGTTGCACAACCTGGTGGATCTGCAGCGGATGCTGCGGAACCTCTTTCCAGAGGGCAGCAGGGAGAACAGTCCATGGTGGGGGTGTGAGGGGTCTTTGATGATATTACGGGCTCGGGACACACAGCGCTGTGATGAAATGTCCTTAATGGAGGGAAGAGGAGCCCCAATGATTCCTTCCGCTGTCCTCACCACCCTCCTCACATTCTTCCAGTCAGAAGCTCTGCAGCCTCCACACCACAGAGAGAGACAGCTGGTCAGAACGCTCTCTATGGTGCTTCTGTAGAAGGTTGTGAGGATGGGCGGGGGCAGGCGGGCTCTCCTCATCCTCCGCAGAAAGTACAAGCGCTTCTGTGCCCTCTTCACTAGAGATGAAGTGTTTACAGTCCAGGTGAGGTTGTCCGTGATGTGCACCCCCAGGAACTTTGTGCTGCTGACCACCTCCACAGCTGAGCTGTTGATGAGCAGTGGAGCATGGTGGGGGCGGTTTTTCCTGAAGTCGACGATGATCTCCTTCGTCTTCTCCACGTTCAGGATCAGACTGTTTTCACTGCACCAGTCCACCAGCTGCTCCACCTCCTCTCTGTAGTCCCGGTCGTTGTCGTCCCTGATGAGGCCCACCACCGTGGTGTCGTCCGCAAACTTCACGATGTGATTGGTGGTGAACCTGGGGACGCAGTCATATGTCATCAGGGTGAACAGCAGGGGGCTCAGGACGCAGCCCTGAGGGGAGCCCGTGCTGAGGGTGATGACATCAGAGGTGTTCTGACCGACCCGGACTGACTGAGGTCTGTTGGTGAGGAAGTCCAGCAGCCAGTTTCGAAGGGGTGTGTTGAAGCCCAGATGTTCCAGCTTTCCCACCAGGTGCTGTGGGATGATGGTGTTAAACGCTGAACTGAAGTCCAGGAACAGCATCCGCACGTGGGTGTTCTTCTCCTCCAGGTGGGCCAGGCTCAGGTGAAGAGCAGAGGAGATGGCGTCCTCAGTGGAGCGGTTTCGCCGGTAGGCAAACTGGAACGGGTCGAGTGTTGGGGGGAGACTGGAGACGATGTGTTCCTTTACCAGCCTTTCAAAGCACTTCATCATGATGGGAGTCAGTGCGACGGGCCGGTAGTCGTTGTAGCAGGTGACTTGAGGTTTCTTTGGCACTGGGATGATGGAGGCAGACTTGAAGCATGCTGGCACTGTGGCTTGCTCCAGCGAGGTGTTAAAAATGTCCGTGAGGACACCAGCTAGCTGACCTGCACACTCCTTGAGCACCCGCCCAGGTATGTTGTCGGGACCTGGGGCCTTCCGCGGGTTGACCCTCCTCAGAGTCTTCCACACGTCGGCTGTGTCAAGGCAGAGAACCTCCTCTTCCTGATGTGGGACAGCCTTCACTGCTGGAGTGCGATTTAGTGCCTCAAACCTCCCAAAGAAGTTATTTAGTCCGTTTAGGAAGTCAGCATCAACTTCATCCACCGGGGCAGGGGGCGTGTTGTAGTCTGTGATCGCCCGTATGCCTTGCCACATGCTCCTGGTGTTGTTGGCGTCGTGGAACAGATGCTGGATTTTCTGGTTATGGTTCCGCTTTGCTAACCTGATGGCACGGTTCAGGGTGGCTCTAGCTGTCCTCAGTGCCTCCTTGTCACCAGACTTGAAGGCTGAGTTCCGTGCTTTTAGCGCGTGGCGGACCTCCTCAGTCATCCAGGGCCGTTGGTTGGCTCGGGTG